CGTCGGAAAATATTTGCATATTAAAGTAAGGAGAGAGACCTACGTCATCAATAGCACATAGTTATTTCATTCATGAGTATTGTGTGTTACGTCGCACGTGCCGGATTTCAATTTGAATTTGACGCGAGCGCGTTAATATTCACGATACATCGACGCGTTGTCAGCAGCAAATCGCGCGAATTAAAAAGTTGCATTTATGGATCAATATAGTCCTCCACCTTTTCCAAACATCGATCGAAAAAAGACGTGTCCGACAGTAAGTCCTCGTATCTCAATTTTTCCCTCTTCCTCGTAACTCACGCATAATAGATGAATTTAAGGCTGATTTTTATTCGTTCCTGCTTGAGCGCTGATTTGAAATAGGACGGGTTGAACTTTGTTCATTTTAAGATGAAGATGATTTTCACTAAATCATATTTTTGCGCTGATTTTTATTTGTTTCTTTTTTATTTTTGCGAACTTTGGTCTTGCTCTTGCTCTCTCTCTCTCTCTCTCTCTCTCTGCGCATCATTCTTTCATGCCAATTCATATGCGAATTATAAGCCACTTTCACTCCTAATATTTAATATTATTTGCTGTTATTTTGCACACAATATATGAAGCTCTTTCTCTGTTTCCCCTTCAAACAAATAAATAAGATAATAAACATCATTTTCGACGCTTTAAAATCGACGCGCGTCACGAACGTGTATTGCGCGAAACCACTCTTGTGCGCGCGATAGGGACTGTCAGAGGAATCGCCGATCGGGAAAGAAATCGCGAGCGCACTCGGCGCAATTACGTAACGCGAACTCCGGATCGATAAGACGCTAAATGCGGATCGCTTCGCGAAAAGTACGGGGGCGTCGGCTGTTATCGACCTTGAGCGATTCGATCAAGAGGAAGCTCCTGAAAGCAGGTTCTTAAGTAATCGTCGCCGGCCTGCTCGATGATTAATTACCTCTCGCAATTTCGCGCGTCGCGCATTCGTGACTCGAATAAATATCGCGGGCCTCGGTAAATATAGAGCATTCCATAACATCCGAACGTTTCAACGCGACGAGATCTTGCGGTCAATCTTAAGTCCACTCTTGAACAAACTGTCATTACATCGTAGATTAACGAGCTGTGTACAATTTAAAAATGCGCCGCTCTCTTCGCGAATGTATATATACGTGAGTGAGAGAGAGAGAGAGAGAGAGAGAGAGAGAGAGAGAGAGAGAAAGAGAGATAGAGGGAAAAAGACGCGATTAAATAATAAAATTCGCTTTCTAAAGTAAAAGTATCAATGCTTCATTGCAAAAAAGTTTTGTGTCAAATTTAACGCATTTCCCATGTCCTTTCCCACTTTTTTATTCACTTCGATTTTTGTATTAATTTAACACAAAGCAAACATGTAAACAAATAACACAAATAATGAACGAAAAATAACACAAAATATAACACTCGGACACTGTTATCTTAATATCTATTATAATATGACTATTTAACAAAGAATAACTAAAATAACAATGACAAATTAACACACACGGGTATATTAAAAATTTAACACATAAATTCATACACAAATTGATTTCAACACAAGTACAAAATCATGCTGGAAACACTGTTTTTTATCATGTTGGAAACACACCTAGTTCTGGACATCTTTATTAAAGTTTCAATAAAGAATACATTTAATTATTTACTTATTCATAAATGGATAATCCATTTGACGTATAAAGAAAGAGAGAAAGAGAGAGAGAGAGAGAGAGAGAGAGAGAGAGAGAGAGAGAGAGAGAATAATTATAATAAAAATAGAAAAGCAAATAGAACGGATGCAAACTGAACAAAGAGAGATTGCATACACTGAGAAATAAAAATATATAAATATGTAATATATGCACATATATCCTATGCGTATTGAAAATTCAAATATTCATATTTTAATTAAAGAACAAAACAATAAAAATGCCCAAAGTTAGGTACATATCCAAGCATTGGTACTCTTTTACCCTACCTCGTTTCTCAGACGGATATTACATTCCCCGAAACTCAAGACGAGATTTCATTACGAAGATATTTATCGACGAGTGGTATTGAAAGATCGCGGCGAGACGGTTGAAATTTCACTCGAGAAAAGAAACCGACTCGGAATATCCACCAAAATATTCACCGCAAAATCGAATTTTGCGGACCTCCGACTACTCGATGTATTTCGTCAATGCTGTCTCCGCGCGAGATCTAATCGCCCGTCATTTGATCGCGCCAGCTAGTCGCGATAAAGAAACGTCGCTGATTTAGACGCGGTAGCCACGTGCTATTTACGGACGTGCTCAAAGGTCGGGAAAATCAGCGAATCCGCTCGTCGCGATAATCTGACAAGGACGCGCGGCAGTGAAAAAGTCTGACCCTGAGAGGCGCAGGAATATTTGCCGGGAACGCACGGTGTGATCGAACGGAGCTTATTAGTTACGCATTATTCGTTATCGCCTTGTTTTGTATTTGCCCGTGCGTTGGCGTCTGTTGAAATAAGAAAGAGCGTCACGCTGTTCTTTACGCCCGTAATGAGCAGATACGCGCGCGGAGCGCAAATATTTTGCGAGCCCGCGAAACTTGAATGAAAAGACGCTGAATGAAACCTCTCGACGGTCTGTCGAACCTTTCAACGGCGCCGCGCGCAGCTGTGTTATAATAAATTTCTCGCGAATTGCATACAGTATTAATGGTAATATAATAAATGCCATTGAAATAATCATAATATCTCGGACCATTGGAAAATACTGCGGAACATCTATAAATCCGTATCTATTTTCCCCTGCGGACTGCAGGTCGGCGGAATTTTCGCTTTCATATATCGATATCGTCTCGACCCGCTGCATTTCTCTTAATACTAGAAGGATCAGAAATTGTGTGTATCTAAAAGGACTGAGAGTAGTCAATTAAATTTGGTGACCGTTAAGTGCCGTTAAGATAAAAGTACTGATTGCCGGACACATACTTAATCCTGAGTATTCTTATTGTTTTGGTATTTAAATGTGAATGTTTAAATTTTCAACATGGAAAATACATATATATTTTTTTTTAATATACGTATGTACATATATATTTTCTTTTTTTAGTTGAAAGTTTAAATATTTGTATTTAAAGACCAAGTACATCGGTACTTTTATTTTACAATTTGTACAGACATGCATAATAGTGACGACAAAAAGTAAAAAAAAGTCGTGGGATTTAAAAAAAAAATGAATCATTAAAAAAATATGCCAGCTTCTTCTCAGGTAGTTAATAGACCACCTTGGTCCTTTTAGTGTCAACACCTTCGCTCATCATCACGCGAGAGAGCATCATGCCGATGAAACGATGCAACTGACAATTATCTGTATCTCATCTCGCACGCACAACGTGTCGATCTACAAGTCTCTAATAAAGCGGCCAAAACCGTACCGTGATCGATCGGCAGGATCACGAACGAGCGTGCGATAGCCAATTTTCGCTTAACTCCGAGATCGACGCTCCGTCGCACGCACGGCGTGTGTGCCTCCGTTTCCAAGATCAAATTCCAGCGTAAGACCGAGTTTCGAATACGGGGAGGATAGTCTCGGCATCGGGAGCATCGAATTTGACCCTGGATCGTAGCCCCGTTATCGCCGGAATCGGTCATCACTGACCCTCCGCTCGCGTTTCTCTCCCTCTTCCTCCCTCTCTCTTCTTCTTTCTCTTCCTTTCTCTCTCTCGCTCTCTCTCCGGCGTCCGGGCTTTCCTCTCTCCCGTCCCGCCGCGCGCGCGGCAGGGAAGTCTCAACTGTGAAGCGGAATCAGGAAGAGAGGAGAGCGTTGCACCGTTCTGAGGGTACACTGTTCCAGTGAACCCGGCGTGCGCGCCTCGCGAGCGGTGGCGCGCGGCCCCCACGCCGCCTCCCGTCGGCGTGACAGTGTGTGTATGTGTGTGTGTGCGTACAAGAGAGAGAGAGAGAGAGAGAGAGAGAGAGAGAGAGAAACGTGTCGGCGGCAGAAGCGGCGGCGACGACAGCGGCGGCCTTCCAACAGCACCCCTTCCTTCTTCCCCCTCTCTGTCGCTCGCTCTCGCTCTCACACGCGCACCCCTCCGTGCGACGTGAAAGGGTGCCGAAGGGAGCTTGCGCCCCTACCAGCGCGCGCTGCCCCCTCCAGCGGCCAACGCGAATTCACCCTCCCGGTGTGCCGGAACGACGTTCGCGCGCGACGTCGACACAGCGACTCGACGCTGCACGTCCCGAGAGCGTCCCGAGAGCGTCACGACGCCGCTGACCGCGCGTCCTCGCTAGTGGGAAAACGTACGGCACAGTCGGTGGGGGCGCGATCAATGGTGGGGGTCGACGCGGGGGGAACATGAGCGCGTGGTGGTAGTGGTGCCGGTGGTGGAGGAGGTGGTGCTCGAAGGTGGTGGGACGGAACGGTGCCGAGTGGAGGAGAGCTCGACGACGGCAAGGAGAGGTCATTGACCCGAGTGGCAGGCTGCCGGCTGCTAGAGTGCTACGTCGCTCGCGCCGCGCGCGCGCTGCCTGGCCTCTCCTCGCCGTCGCCGTCGTCGTCGTCGTCGTCTGTTCCGCGTTTGTTCGTAATCTCGTGTGTGCTCCGTGCGCTCTCTCTCCCTCTCTCTCTCTCTTTCTCCCTTTCTCTCTCTTTCTGTGTGTGTGTGTGTGTGTGTGCGCGCGCGCGCGCGCGCGCTACGACACTTTTATCTATAATAATATTCGCGCGCGCGTATAATTGTCGTATACGTACACGTTGAGTGCCGCGCGGGTAGTAATAAAATGTATACAGTACCGATTGTATAGACCGAGTACACACATGTGCGTACGCGCGTAACATCGGTCTCTCTCTTTCTCTCTCAAACTGTCCCTACGCAGCCTTCTCGCTCTCCTCGCACGCCACCGATTTCGCCGGGGCGCGCAGCGCGAGAAACGAAGGAAGAGAGAGTGAGAGAGAAACGGAGGCAGGGAGGGAGAGAAGGAGGGAGGGAGGGAGGGAAGGTGGGAGGGAGGGAGAAAGAGGAAGATAGAAAGAGAGAGAGAGAGAAAGCGCCGAAACGAGCGAGAGAGAAAGAGAGATCGCGCGCGTGTGTTTCCCTACGACGTGCGTTACACTGAGAGATCGCGCGGACCGCGGAGCGCGTGTTTCGCGTACACTTCGTTCTGCCGGCTACTCCACTTCTTCTCGTTCGTACGTACTTCGCGTTGTTTCACGTCGTGTGTCGTCCCTCTCTGTCTCTCTGCCTTCCTCTTCCTCTTACTGTCACTCTCTCACTCTCAATCTCTCGAGTTACGTTCTTCGTGCGGTGTCTCATCGTCTTCTTCTTCTTCTTCTTCTTCTTCTTCTTCTTCTTCTTCTTCGTCGTCGTCGTCGTCGTCGTCGTCGTCGTCGTCGTCGTCGTCGTCGTCGTCGTCGTCGTCGTCGCGATCGTCGTTATCGCGCGTCCCGGCGAGCTCTGACGCGTCGTGCAAGTGGTAGTTGTAATCCAACGTCGTGACCGATAACATCGTCAACGCACCGTCATCGTCGGCGTCGGCACTACTCGCGACTCGGACTCCTCTCTCCGACCCGGCCGGCACGGCCACCGGTGATCGTCTGCCGTGGAAGAGGTAGCGCGCGGCACACGGAACCGGTGAACGTGGAGGATCGCTCCACGCGCCTCGTTCTCTACCGGCGCGAGGGCTATCAGCTTATCGGCGTGCTCCTCTGGTCTGGCTTCCAACGTCGTCGTCGTCGCCGTCGAGGCAGACCCCGCGAGTCAACCGGCAGAAGCAGCACGCGACGACGGGTGTCGCGCGTCGTCAGTGTCACGCAGTCGTCGTCCCCGACGACGTCGTCTTTGTCACGTTCGTCGCAGTCATCGTCGTCGTCGTCATCGTTGTCCCACGTGAGCTCCGGTGCCGCGCTCGGACCGTGGCGCGCGCTAGTTTCCCGTGCTGCGACAGGAGGGATTATTCAGTGGCGAAGAGAGGCGGAGGAGGAAGAGGCCGAGGAGGAGAGCCGCGAGAGTGCGACGACCGAACTCAACCGTCCGTTCGTCCGCCCGTCCGCCCGTCCGTCCGACAGTAGTGTACGGCGTTTGTTGTTTCGTTCGGCCGGCTCCGCGCGCCGGCCGCCGATTCGCCGCGCGACTGGCGACTCGCGGACACGAGTCCGCAGCAGAGCGGAGCAATCGCAAATAGTACGCGAGTGTGTCGTGGACGCGTCAGTGTGTGACCAAGTTTTGCGCGTCTCCCGTTGCGTACACGCATACGTGCACACATGCGAGACACATACGCGCGTCTTTCTTATCACGGCGGTGCGTGGTCGCGACCGTCGGGGGGTCGTAGCGACATTCCCTCCGGCGAGTAAGGGGACAGTGGCGCGTCGATAGTGAACCGCGGATCAGTCGAGATTATCCGCGAGGTTATCAGGGTGTGCGCGCGTTTTCGCAGCGAAGAGTCTCAGGAGACGATCCGAGAAGGACGAAGGAGAGAAGCGGAGAAGAGACTCGCCGGCGTCGTCGTCGTCGTCGTCGTCGTCGTCGTCGTCGTCGTCGTGGTCTCGCGCTCGGACAGAGAGCGAGAGAGACTCTCCCGGATATATTCATCGTGCACGCACGCATCTCTCGCGCATACATACGTATAAATAGACGACGCGTACGCGTGCTGGCTCGCGCGCGCACACGCGAGCGAGCAAGCGGTGCGACCCACCGATTACGCGCGCAACGTGCCCCCCTCGTCGTCATCGCGCGACCTCCGCGACCGTTCCTGCTGCACGCTTTTACTCCCCGCGCGCTCCGCTCATCGCCCTCCCCTCCCCCTTCACCTCTTTGGCCACTACTGAGGACTTTTTGGCGCCTCTCTGTGTGCGCTCTTCCGCTTTTTCGGGTTGTGCAAGCGCTCTTGACTTCGTCGTCGTTGCACTTCCCCGCGCGGGCGCGACTCCTGCGACCTTCGCGCCCTTTCGTCGCGAGTCCTTAACCCGCGCCGCGTGTCTCTCTTTTCGTTCCGCCTCCCTCTCTGTCTCTCTGAGACGCGCGTGTTCAACACGTTTCTCTCACTATCACACGATACTTGCTTTACGTTTCTTCCGCGCGCGGCTCGCCTCTCGCGCGGTCACTCTCTCTTTCGTTCGCGTTCCGCGCGCCGGCAAAACACGACGCTTCTAAACTCCGTCGCTGGTCTCGTTTTCGCTATCCCGTGGGTCCCACGGCGACTTTCTCCGTCGTGTTCTCCCCCTCCCCCCCGCTCAGTGCACGCGTGCAAGCACGCATAAGCGAACGAACGCACCTCGACACACCTGACAGAGTCAGGCACTCTCTTTCCCTCCGCTTGCACTTTTGTCTGTTTCCTTTTTCGTTTCTGCCTCTTTCACTCCGTACGTCATTCTCGATTCAGTCACGTGGGCGAAGCCTAAACTGGCCGATCGTCGAACGTCATCGTCCTCTGCATCGCAGTCATCGTCGTCGCCGTCGTCGTCGTCGTCGCCGTCGTCGCCGTAGTCATCGTCACGACGCAGTCGTCGTCGCAGCGCACGCAGTGTGATACTTAAATAAGCGCAATTTAAGTATACAACGTTTCATCCTGTGTGACCAATGCATCGCGAGACGATGCACCGGTGACGTGATCAACCCGCGCGTCGCGCGACGCTCGATGCCCAACGTCCCCCGCGTTCATCCCCTTCGCATCACGCACGTGTGCGTGCGTGTAGGTTGAGACGACGCATGTATGCGCGCGTGTACTTTCCGAAAAGCCAGACCAGGAACACTCTTTCTCCCTCTTTCTCTCTCTCTCTCTCTCTCTATCTCTCATCTTGGTTTCCTCGGTTTCGAGTTTCGGTGCGGGTGATACACGAGCAAGAGAGAGAGAGAGAGAGAGAAAGGATCCGTCGCGATGCGCGCGACGCCGACGCGCTAGGTCGCGAAATTCGTAGGCGACGCGCGATATCGTGTGACCGCTTGTGTGCGGCTTGTCAGCAGAGATTTCCGCGCGCGCGTGAGCGATGCGAGAGGATCGCCGGTGAGCGGCTGTCGCGGATTCGCGATCGCGGCTCGGCGCTTCGAGCCGATCGTTCACTTACAGGGAAAGAGACACCCTTTGAGACGCGCGCGAATACGGCAGAATAAGTCTCCACAGAATCTGCTAGAGTCGGTGCATCGTTCGCGTCCGTGAAATTCGCAGGATTCCGCGGGGTCTTCGCTCGCTCAACGATCGGTCGTGATCTCTATGCGCGCATCTCCGTTCGTAAAGGATCGCAAGGTGCGAAGGATGCAGGTCAGCGGGAGCTAGTGGAGAACACGCGCAGCTACGTCTATCTCAGTGGCCGAAAGTTTCGCATTCGGTGAGCTATGGATAATCGCGAATGCTCACCTGTGCCGACGTGAGGCGCGCTATAACGTCGAACGCCGGAGAGAACACCCTCCGTAAATAATTGGAGAATTGATGACGCCCGGTGCGTTATTAGTAGCGCGGTTATTAATGACGCTCGTGATAGGTACCGCCGACTCGGTCGGGCCGGCACAGTGTGTATTGGTTTCCGTTTACGGAACCGCGCTTCCGCGTTGGTCACGTGCGGCCGGGGAGAAATTTATCGCGCCGCCAACGGCGAGAGTTTCGCGGAAGCTTATTTATTCTCGCCGGATTCTCGAATAATGATCGCTCGCGAGCGGCCAATCTTCAATAACTCCGTGGAGAAATCTCCCGAGAAATCAGAGTGACGCCGCGCTCACGAAGTAACGTCCGCTTGTAATCGCGGAAAATAGACTCGCCGTTCGCGGCAGTAGATAGCCCTCTCCCCCCTCCCCCATCTTCCGGGTTGCAAGAATTAATATCTCGCGGAAAAATTCATCGATGCGCTCGAGGCGAGAGATCGGAATTTTTTCAATTCGCCAATTTGATACATTGGTACACGCTATCGCGGGCTGAAACCGACAAAAACAGGCGAGAGACTCCTCAATGGGTTGCGGCACACAACCAGATAGAAAGCACCCAGATAGACTTTCATGATGATTATTATGATGTGAAACAATCGATGGTGGAAACTTTTTGATGGAAACAATTTTTTCAATTGCATTTATAAAATAAATATACTATATTGAATCAATTATGATAAATATGATAAATACGAGTGCAATCTGATCAGTCATAAAGGACTCAACGTTGCTAAATTTCGTGATTCAATAAAGTTGCTGCAAAGTTTACTGCTATCAGTCTATCGGCAGACTTTCGTTATCGTCACGACAATCGAATTCTGGAAATTTTACAATTCTTTTAATTGCATTTATGAAGTAAATACACTGTATTAAGTCAATCATAAAATTTGCATCGTATAATAATACGCGAATTATTTTGTTACATTGGCACAGCAACAAATTTACTAAAAGTTACACTGAAATTTTCATGTTATACTTAACATGATATATTGTTTGCGGCAAATTTCGATCATTTTTTTCGTATTTCTAATCGGCAATTCTGTGCAATAAATATGAGTGCGATCTGATCAGTTATAAGAGACTCAATGCTGCTGAATTTTTTTCACTTTTTTTAATTGCATTTACTAATTAAATATACTTAAATCACTCATTAAATCTACATCGTCCAAAAATATGAATTCTTGTTATATTGACAGCAATTTTGCTAAAAGTCACTGAATGTTGCACTTAACATGATACATTGTTTGCGACAAATTTTGATGATTTTTTTCGTGTTTCTGTCTCGTCTTTCTAGGTGATAAATACGAGAGCGCAATCTGACCAATTGTGAGAGACTCGACGTTGCTGAATTTCGTGCTTCAATACGCTCAAAGTTGCCGCGAAGTTTACGCGCGTCAGTCTATCGGGGAGCACACACGTGTGATATTCGGCACGCAGCGCGGCGAAGAACGCACGTCGCGGACGTCGCCGCGCGCGCGCGCGCGCGATTATAAATAAAACGCGCGTCGCGGACACGCGCGTCGCGTTACGTTCGCGCGCGTCTTCTCGCCGTCTTCGCGCTGTAACAGCACGTGTCAATGAAAATAGACCGGCCGAGTCGGTTTCGCTGGTCGATCGAGTTTCCCGCTCGCTCGAAATTCCCCGGCCGCACCGCTTCTCCCGCACCTTCCACGCGGAAGGTACTCGACGACAGTGTACGCGCGCCATCATCTCGTCGCTGTCGCCGTCGTCTACGCGCGACTATTTTAGCGCCGTTGAAAATAGGCGAGACCGGCCGTCTGCCGCGCTGGACCGCGATCTCGCATGCGTGCGAGCGGCGTGTTAGCGCGATCCGCGATATCGGATCGGCCGAGGATCATCTCGCGGAGGAGCGTGTCTGTCGGCTACTCCACGACTAAGGGCTCATCTTCGCGTGTGTTCTCACGCGAGCGAGATATCTCGTCGTGGTCCACCAGACCTTCGCTCCTAATGTCAATGGACCTTTGTACCCCCGACGCGCTGGCGATCAATTATCAGTCCGTGCTCGCCTGAATCCGCATACTAGATACAGATTAGTCGGACTAATCGCGGAAGGCGCGCCGGAACAGTCGCGAAGACATGCAACGCGGTCCCGCACTGAAAAAAAAAGTTTGGTAATACTTATCAAATGCGTTTTACTATACCATTTGATAAATAGTAACCAATATGGTAAATGTTACCAAATGTTTAATAATAATTATAAAATTGTTAGTAACATTAACTTTCATAGAGTAATATTCACTTATATTTAGTTATATTCACTTATATTTAATATTCTCTTATATTTAGTTGATGACTATTTCACTAAATGTAGTAATTATAACACAGGCTGGTTAACTATTACCAGAAATTTTTCTCAGCGCGCAATCGGACACAGAGTCCCCATTATACTTTCGCGTCGGGATTTTCGGAATTCGCAGTGGATTTAATTAAGATCGCCCGCGTCTCGCGAACTCAATCAGCCGGACTACTTTAATCCGGCTAATCTCGTTGTATGACAATATTTGCTCAGTCGCCGATCACAGCCGCGTTAGGTCTCGGGGACAGCCTGAAAGAGGAATTACGTGGTCGACTGAAATACGTCCGACGCGTACCTCCCCGAATTCGCTGGCCCGCCACCAGTCGCGCGGAAAATTCGCGATCGAGAGATCGCGCACAGAGATCGTCCCCGATCGCACAGAGCTGAGGCAGCTAATTGACCGAGCCGAGACGAGCCCCGTCGCTTCACAATAACGATCTTTGCCCCTCGCAACCTCCTTCAGCGTCGCAACACGCGCCGCGCACCAGCCGTTTCTTCGCAGAAGCGCTCGCGCGCGATTCGGGCGAGTCTGTGCCCTACGATAAGTCGTATAAATGTTCCACGCCACCACGGGGACAGTGGCGATTCGCGAGGTCGTGGTGAATCCTGCGCGTGAAAATGAATGGCGTATGGCGGAGTATTTTTAAGTTTTGCAAGTGCTATAATGAGAGACAGATACTAAGGAATGTCGGAAATTTGACAAACTTTTTGCCTGGCAAATAAAATGCCTTTTGACTGTGTTATCGAGTTTACTTTTGGACAGCGGGTCGTCAGACTTTAAGAGATTATCCGAGATCAAGGGATGAAGTCACGAATGAGTGACACTCGCTCGGGACAATGCCTCTGAGCATTGCGCGATACGATTAATTGCGACTAATGTAGTGCGGCGTGTCACAACAATTTCCGCCATACGACATCACAATTCGCGCCCCACGACACGGCAATTCGCTGCGATAACATACGACCGATTGTAGACCAGGCATTAGCCGTAGGACGACCGGTAGCGTCGCGCGCGCGGCACGAGGGTGACCCGCGAGCCGCTCCCTCGTGCACGAGGATCACGTGCCATGAATTCTCTCCCTCACGTTTAGCGGATCCAGCGAGGAGGAATAGCCGAGCTTCCGAGCACCGTTCGCGGCGAGGGAGGTCGAGCGACCGCCGCCAGCTCGAAAAGGAGGACTACGATGAACAGTGACGAGGAACGACTGGGACCGAGCGTGTGTCGTGTTCGCAGACGGGACCCGGTGAGTTGTTCCCGCGGCGCGCCGCGTTGCAACGGGAGCCCGCGTGAGTCTGCCCATCGCTGAAGACCACCCTCGCACTCGCAGAACCGTGAGCGAGAGAGAAAGAGAGAGAGAGAGAGAGAGAGAGAGAGAGAGAGAGAGAGAGAGAGAGATCGAGCGCGAGTGTCGTGAACGGGAGAAAGAGTGTGTGTGTGTGTGTTCGTCAGCCGCCGCGACAGGAATATGAGACACAAAGGAAAGGGTAGTTAGTCAGAGCCCGAGGGAGAGGGAGAGAGAGAGAGGCTCGCTGTAGGAAACCGGCGTCATGTCCGCCGTCGATTCGCAGCGTAGAATTTCTCCGAGCGCGCCGTGACACCGCCCGGAACACCGTTCTCTCTCTCTCAGCAGCCAGAAGGGAAGCCGGCCGCCATTTAATACAGCTCGCGGCGACCGCCGGCGACCTTGGCCGAGGCCGTTTCGGCCGCGGCCCAGCGAGGACCACGAAAATCCGCCGCCGTTAACCAGCCGACCTTGATCAAGAGAGGGACGATCGAGGGACAGAGAGAGAGAGAGAAAGACCGTCGTCCTCGTCGACGATCGCATCATCGACGACCCACCGCTGTCAACTGGCCTCCAGCTGTCCGCTTCTTCGAGGTCATCGGACTCAGGATCGTAGGAGGCCGAAATTATTAATACACGACCACCTGTGTGTGTTCTCTCTTCCGACTCCATATCAGCGCGGGGGCCCCGCTCCTCCCGCTTCATCTCTCTTTCTCTCTCTCTCTCTCCCTCTCGCGGTCGCAGCGCGGCGGGAAGAGAGCGCGAGTGACGTTACCGTGCGGCTAAGCGACATCACGGTAACGGTAATCCGCGTACGAGCACCGCGACCTAGTCGGCGCAGCGGTGCGGAGCGGAGCGAGCGGCGACAGCACCGGCGTGAGCCGCGGCAACGGCAGCGGGGATAGCCTTCGTCTTCGTCTGGAGCAACGAGAGTTCGCGCGAGGAATTGAAAAGTGAAACTGTGTGACACACGATCTCTCTCAGTGAGATTCGCCGCAGCGACCTCCCTTTCGACCTCGCGAATCCTCCTCTTGCCTTCTCTCTAGCAATTGTTCGTCCTTTCTTTCTCCCCCGTGCTCCTCGTGTGTGTGATCCGCGTCGTCGGTTCCATTATCCCCCGTCTGCCTCTCGTCCTCCCGCGATCTCGAGGCTCCGCGCGCGAAAGGGGAGAGAAGAACGCCGCGAGTGAAAGTGAATCTCGTTACGATCTTCTTCTTCTTCTCCTCCTTCTTCTTCACCTCTCTCTGTCTCCCACGAGGGTGAGTCTGATCGTCGCATTGTGATCGCGCGTGTCGGTTAGTGAAGGCGTCTAGTTCGCGTCAGACCGACCGCGATGATCCGCGTGTGAAGGAGCCATCATCACCGATTATCATCGCCCAGGCGTAGTCCAGTCGGGACTTCCGCTGCGAACGGTCCTTTCAGGACGGTGGAGACAGGAGGGGGAGGGAGCAACGCTACTAGCTGGCGCTCACGTTGATGGCCGATCATCGACGAACCAAAAATGTGAGTGTTGCATATACATATATATATATATATATATATACATGTAAACTCGTCTCGCGATTTTCGCCTTTTCCTTCTCGCGTTTCGCGCGCACTTAACCCCGTCACGGCGACGTGATTTACAATTCCTCGAGAGTGGCGGGAATACCCGGTACCGCTCTCGCAGACCTTCCCCGCGTGACTGAGAACTTCACCCCGCGCACGTATACGGGGGCCGAAGAGCGTTAGATGTGGAATTCTCATCCCGCTTACTTGGATAATTTAAAGCTCCTTGCTTTGGGATAATTTCGCTCGAGAAGGGGATGCATCGTTATACAAGGTATAATGACAATTATTAGAGTTCCCCCGTAGGTCGCATTTCATTTCGAAAATTTTGAGGGTTATACATCCTCTCTCGGTTCTCTGAATAAAAATAATGACAGGATGATTGGGTTATTTGGATCATTCTCTGCGCGTAGATACGCGGGCGGGAAAACAGCCGAGCGCAGTAGCTCTGATTCCATATCTCCGCGTTGGACGTTACTTCCGGAGTGATATATTTTGCCAATTATCCTCCTCGGATGTGCCGCATAAATAGGCGGTTGCTCGCAAATCGGCGAGGAAGTTTCGCGCGCGTACGCGCAAACACATACATATATGTGCGCATAATGATACATTGCGATAGATCATTCCGGCCGTACTTGACAGTAAGTTTGTTTTTTACGCTGTAAGCATTGCAGTTTGTTCGGCACGCCTGCCGACCTCACCCCCGGTTGGCGTTCCATCATCGAAACTACGTTACACACCGCGACGATAATACCCCAACACAACGGCATAATTTACATATAAATTAGTTGCCGCGAATTCGCGACGGATTATAAATTGCACGCGCGAGTTTTGATTCCTGTCGCCGACCCGCGCGACCCCGACACCCACGGGCCCCGTCGTGGGTCGTCGCGATCATCGATTGAGGACGCGAACAGCCGTCGCGCCGCGTTTTCCATTTAGACCTAACGATCCTAGATCGTGATCGATGGGATCAGCCGCCCGCATGCGCCGTCAATCCTCGCGCAGGAGCCCAGAGGTCGCTTGCCGTACGGCGAAACCGCCGTCCGCAATCTCTCTTTCCGCGAACGCGCGATCAGCGCGTCGGAGGCGCGCAGAAAGAACGTCGATCGCAACGGAGGAAGGGAAGGAAGCGGATGGAAACGACCAGAAGACACTCGCCCTCGTCATCGGATCGAGTTTCATTTCTCCGTCGTCGTCGTAGTCATCCTCGTCATCTTCGTCCTCCCGTCCCGTCTCCAGACGGCCGGTCGCTCAGTCGCCGCGGAAGCGCTTCCCCTCGGCGTGAAAACGGAATTTGCCGCCTCGTCACCACGTCAGGATCGTTCGAGGCCCGCGGAAATCGCTTCCCCGGCGTTTGACGCGCCACCATCCGCCACCGTATCGCTGTGCCCGATCGCTCCTCGTCCCGCTGCGTCGGGAACCAGCGGAGTTTCGCCTCGACGAGGTCTCCGCGTCTTCGCCGCGATCGCAAGGTAACCCGTGACTCTCGGCACTGCGACATCCCGACCCCTAAGGAAACCTCTAAAGAACTGCTCTCTCTCTCTTCCATTTTCTTCTCCCCGTTAAATCTCAAAGCTAAATTCGATGCATTCGTTCGGCTTAGCTCCAAATAAATCGACCTCGGGAGATTTAATCGAGCGTACTTCCGCGGAGGATAACGATCGATCGTGCCACCGAGTTGCTCCAGTGACTTGAAATATTTCCGCGGATCGAATGGAAAGTACCTTGTCCAGTCGTTGCGATAACCGCGTACGATTTCTCTCGCATTCATGGCATACCATCAATAGAAAATCAACTGTTGATTGACAAAAGCATTCTGAAACCAATACGGACGTATGGAATCTAGTTACGAGAAACAGTTTCTAATTCCGACATCGAAATACAAAGATTCCAGTCCATGATTTTATGAATCATATTTGATGCTCCGCGATACGTTGCAAACGAAATCTTGCACCGCGACCTGAGTAACCGTTGAGGTGCAATCATTGAGGAAGAGATAAAAAATTCAGGCATTTAGATTACCTTGAACGTAATGGTTGCGTTCAGCAGAAAAAGCTGCTTTGCGACTGTTGTAAAATTCGTGAATCTGATTGGTACATGCTCTTGGATTCAACCAAAATTAAGAACATACTTCAATCAGATTCACGGATTTTACAACAGTTGCAAAGCAGCTTTCTCTACTGAACACAGCCATTAATTCTCAAGGCAGTGCTTAAACTTTATTTATTTTATTTTTATCTCTTCCTTAACGATTAAATAAATGTTATGGAATGTCTCGTGTAAAAACGGATTATGATATAATTTGGATAAAACACATGAAGCGACACTATTTGTACAAGCAAAACTTATCAGCCACATTTCTTCACGCTCTTACGAGGACGGGCTAAAAATTGTGAGATTGAAAATGAAAGAATTCTTTTCTCACGAAGAAAATTTATCCTTACTGTTGAACATGAAGTAAACGTACCAAGACGTAGACCTGGACATTCTTATTGTTTTGGTCTTAAAATATAAATATTTAAACTTTCAACATAAAATATATACAACTATTGAGTATACATTCTATGTTCAAGATTTAAATGTTCGTATATAAAGACTAAAATAATAAGAATGTCCAGGATTAGGTGTCCGGAAATTGTGGTACTTTTATCTTAATCTCCTCTTAATTGAATGAGCTTAGTCCAGCGATGCTGATACAACCAACACATGACAGAGCATAACTTTACATATTAAGCTTTATTAGCGCCATCTTTGGTTCGCACCACTTTTCCTCCTGTCCCCGTATAAGCGAAATCGCGCGTGCAACGCTCTAAAGACAGATTAAGGAACGGCTTAAAGAACCGCGCGAAGAACAGCGTCGATATCATCGAGAGGAGTTACGCCGAGCAAGAGGAGGAGAGGAAGAAAGGAAGAAGGGACGAAGGAGATAAAATGTATGATATCGCAAGCTCCATCGCGGAAAGTCTTCCATTTTTTCTCTCTTGCACAAGAGCCTGCGAGAATATTCATAATGCGGCCCGCGCGACACCACCGCCGTGCAATGAACCGCAGTCGATAATGAGGAGGGTGATCGCGCAGGCGATAATCAGGAGGGACGGAGAAAGGGTGAGAAAGGGAGCGAAGAAAGGGGACGAGGAAGGCAACGCGGCGCCGTCGGTGAAGGGGTGGAGGACGGGGGCGAGAAGGTGGGGCAGGTTAATTTTGTACCGATGATCGCCCCGACGTATGCGACTCCGCACGAATGCCGGCGCCGTGTATGTAGGTTAATCCACGCTCGAAGCGAATCGACCTGCGGGGAATCGCGCACGAGTCAGGTTAACGAATGGGGTAGGTTAGGGTTGAGGCGTGCTGCGGCGAGCTGAGGCGAGCTAAGCTGCACTGAGCCGAGCTCAGCTAACCTGAGTCGATTCCGCGACCGGCAACCCAATTATTCTCTTTGATGGCCGCGAGCGGGACTTGAATGAGCGTTTAAAACAAATCCTTCGATGACGGCGATCGGGCGCTGATCGATGCACCACCAAGGACGCCACGCGCCTCGAATCCCGCGTGGCGACTCGCGCGAATTTGCAACACGCACAATCTCGACATCGCGAGACTGGGACGGCCGATATCGTCCTGCCCGGGCCGGGGATCAAGTGTACCTTCTCGTGCTTATTTGTATGCATAGGAACTTCCTTTTTACCGCCGCCTTTAGGTTAGCCAATGACATTGATCGTTCGCGTGCCGACGGATATTAACGGGACCCTTTGGCTTCTTTCTCCCCGTTTCGCAAAACCACCTTCGGCGAAATTCCTCGCCATGAGCGAAACACGAGCGCGAGATCACGAGTGGCTGAGTCCGTCTCAAAATTCCGAGACGCTTCCGCGACGACCGAGCCGAATCAGGCCGAGCTCTTTGTTGCTGCACGTTGCGCGATTCCGACAACACGGCATTGATTAGACGGATAAAAGGGATCAATTGATCTCGCAAGTCTACACAATAATCAAGGAATTAATCATCTCCATAAGTATGTTTTGTTGCGAATTTTGTCTCAAATTATACTTTCCATTCACTTATTTCGGTAGAGTCTTTGCGATGCCAACAAGATTGCCGATATCAAAATTTGTTAGGTGCAATCACCAATCTTGCACGGAGAGAATTTTATAGCAAACAATTTTGTAACCTGGGAATAGATCGACATAGTTCTGCAGTAATTGACTATGTTTTCATTTCACATATGTATTATTTATGTTTTAGGAGCTCTGAAATGTGTATGCTATCGAAAACATTTGCCATGTATAGACTTCATAAATACTCCACTCTTGCGTTACTAAAAACAGTAAAATTGAAAAAAATTTATATGATAAAGGAAACTATGAGGATATTCTCTCTATGTGTATCTGAAACTCAATCGTTATATAAAAAGCCGGTACGTTTATTACAGTTATACGTTTATTACAGCTGCACGTTTATTACAGTTATAAGTCGACTCAATTAACAAGGGCTGTTTTCCCGTCCTTTCTTTTCATTTAAAAGGACACTGGAATCGACGATGAGCTTGAAAAATGTCGATAACGCAGAGATGATCGTCACTAACATAGTCACGCTATTCTTTTCGTATTTCTCGTACATACAGAACTTACGTAAATTTGCATCGTTTTACCATATTCAGCGGAAAACTTAACCACGCATACATGTATAGGAATCTTTTCCTGCAAACCTTTCGGATATTCTTAAGCTTCTCTGAATCGCAGTGAAACTCTTTGACATATCATCTTGAGTACTTAAAATGCGCATATATAAGAACTATGATTGACGTCTTACTACTCTATTTAACTATTTTCTCTTCTACCAAGGATAACAACATTATATATTTCCATAATAACATGTCTAATGAACTTCGTAGCAGCGAGATGTCATTAATACGCGATTTAACGTTGTCAGGTTTGCGAAGTGTTGCGCATTTCAAGGTGA